GATGCTGAGCACACCTGAATGAGAATTGCTTTCTGTGTTTTCCCTTGGTCCTCCCTCCCTCCTCTCACCCCCACCCCATGCTTCCTTTCCATAACCTGGCATAATTTTTGCTTATTTATTTCTGACAAATTTGTGTGTGTGGATGAAGGCCCATACATGTGCATGTGGAGGACAGAGGTCCATGTTAAGTGTCTTCTTCACTAGCCACTAAACACACACACACACACACACACACACATGCGCGTGCACACACATAAAATAATTAAGTTTGCTTGCTGTTTTTGAGACAGGGGTCTCACTTTGTAGCTCTAGTTGGCCTGGAATTCACTATGTAGACCAAGCTGATCTTGAACTCACAGAGATCTGCCTGCGTCTGCCTCTCAAGTGCTGGGATTAAAGGCTTGGCCACCTGACTGTTGTTGAGACCAGTTTCTCACTGAACCTGGAGCTCCTTGTCTGGACTGGTTGGCCAGTAAGTCTCCGGATCCTCCTCTCCATCCTTAAGCATTAGGATCACATACCTGCACCTTCACACCCCAATGTGGGTTGGGGGACCCCAAGGCAGACCTTCCTGCTTGCACAGAGAGTACTTTGCCCGCTGAGCTATTCCCCAGCCATTGTTTTGGTTTTGATTTTATGAGACCAGGTCTCACTCTCATACCCAGGCTGGCCTCGAACTGGTGACAATCCCACTTCAGCTTGGGAAGTGCTGGGATTATAGCTGTGTGCCACCATGCCCAGCAAGTTGAGGTCTTGAAGATTTGTGCTTATGATTTTTTTGTTTGTTTTGTTTTGTAAACCCAGAATTCTTACAGTTTTGACTGCTCCATTTCATTCTTTGTTTTGTCTTTTTTTTTTTCCTTTTCTTTTTTTGTTTTTTTCGAGACAGGGTTTCTCTGTGTAGCTTTGTGCCATTTCTGGAACTCGCTCTGTAGACCAGGCTGGCCTCAAACTCACAGAGATCCACCTGCCTCCACCTCCTGAGTGCTGGGATTAAAGGCACTCTCCCCCCATCCCCTGGGCTCATTCTTTGATTAATTTTAAGTTAATTTTGTGTGTGGTATTGGGTAGAAGGTCCAACTTTATCTCCTCAAATGTGAATATTCACTTTTCGTAGCATGTTTGTTGACAAGACTACTTTGACCCTCTGAATGATATTGGCACCTCTGTTGAAAACAAATATGAACGTGGAGTTTGTGTCTGGATTGGCAGTCTTCTTTATACCATACGCCCTTTGTCACGGTGGTGGCACCCTGTCTGGATTATTGAACCCACGGGGTTTTTGAAGTCAGGGCATGCCAGGTCTCCAGCTTTGCCCTTCTTTGTTACGGTTGCTCTTGGCTGTACAGAGCCCCTTGTGTCTCTGTGTGGAATTTAGGACCAGCTTCTCAGTTGCCTTGGCTTTAGAACAAATGCAGGCGTTTTGCAGTGGGCGGCAGTCTGTGGGAAGCAGACTTTTAACTTCCTTTCCTGATCCCCACCTTCCCTTTGCCTTCCCCACCTTAGTGAATAGGAACTTCACTCCTGTCGAAGCTCACACTGAACACCCTGGAATGGCCCTCAAGGCTGTCCTTCCTTTCCTGTCCTTTGCCCAGCCTGAGCAAATGTTGTTGAGTCTACCTTGAGTATGGCTAAATTTTTTTTGGTTTACAAACTTTTAAAGTGGATAGAGAAATGGTTCAGCAGTTTAGAGCACATACTGCTCTTCCTGAGGACCCAAATTTGAGTCCCAACACCCATACCAGGCAACTCACAACTGCTTCTAACTCCAGCTTCAGAGAACCCAATGCCCTCTTCTGGCCTCTGCCAGTA